AAAAAAAAAAAAAAAAAAAAAAAAAAAAAAAAAAAAACATTGCAATACTACTTAAGCATTGAATAGTCCTGAGAAACTTGGATCATTTTTTTAAAAAAAAATAATACACTAAACCTGAATAATCTAGATTCTAGAGGCTCTGGACTCCTGGATAATGCTGCTTTCCATATTACCATTTTATATTACTGTTTACATAGTACTAACTATTTATGTAGGAACGCGGGTGGCGTTGTGGGTTAAACCACAGAGCCTGGGACTTGCTGATCAGAAGGTCGCAGTTCGACCTGTGATGGGGTGTGCTCCCGTTGCTCGGTCCCTGCTCCTGTCAACCTAGCAGTTCGAAAGCACGTCAAAGTGCAAGTAGATAAATAGGTACTGCTCCAGCGGGAAGGTAAACGGTGTTTGCGTGCGCTGCTCTGGTTCACCAGAAGCTGCTTAATCATGCTGGTCACATGACCCGGAAGCTGTATGCTGGCTCCCTCGGCCAATAAAGCAAGATGAGCGCTGCAACCCCAGAGTCGGCCACGACTGGACCTAATGGTCAGGGGTCCCTTTACCTTTTATCTATGTATGTAGCACTTTGTGGGATAGGAAGTGTTGGAAAGATGGGCCCCTGCCTAAGGGAGCTTACAGTTTATATTATGAAGAATGGATGACTACAAGGGAAAGGTAATGGGGGACAAATCTGTATGATTACATGTAAACATACTAGAAAGCATGGTTATAGTAGCAGAGGAGAGGAGAGGCAAAGGTTCTGTGGAAAACACTGTTTTTTTAGGTTGGCTTTGAAGAAAGAGAGGGCAACCTGTGAGTGTCTTCCAGGCACAAGATAATGGAGAAGTCATTTTAGGGAGAGAGAAACCATTCAGGAGGCTGAAAGTGGTAGAGTTCAAGGCACTAAGGAGGACAAGGATGTATGGACACAGAGGTGGGCAAGACCACTGAGGACTTTGAAAGTAAGCTTTAAGGCAGTGTTTCCCAACCGGTGTTCCGCGGCACACTAGTGTGCCGCGAGACGTTACCTGGTGTGCCGTGGGAGGGAGGCGGGCGCTTTCTCGTTCGCGCCCTGCAGCGAGAAGGGCAGCGCAGCGCCGCAGAAGAGGCCCAGGAGGCAGCAGGCGCCCAGCGCGCGCCCGAGTCCCGCCCAGCTCGCCATGTCCGCCCGCAGCATTGGCGACCCGAGCCAGGCTCCGCGCGCGATGCCCCGATCCCGGGCGGCAGGGGGGAACGCCTCCCCCCGCCGCCCGCCATCGGGACGATGCCCCGATCCCGGGCGGCGGGGGGGGGACGCCTCCCCCCACCGCCCGCCATCGGGACGATGCCCCGATCCCGGGCGGCGGGGGGGGGACGCCTCCGCCGCCGCCCGCCATCGGGACGATGCCCCGATCCCGGGCGGTGGGGCAGGAACGCCTCCCCCCGCCGCCCGCCATCGGGACGATGCCCCGATCCCGGGCAGCGGGGGGGAACGCCTCCCCCCGCCTCCCGCCATCGGGACGATGCCCCGATCCCGGGCGGCGGGGGGGGACGCCTCCCCCCGCCGCCCGCCATCGGGACGATGCCCCGATCCCGGGCGGCGGGGGGGGACGCCTCCGCCGCCGCCCGCCATCGGGACGATGCCCCGATCCCGGGCGGTGGGGCAGGAACGCCTCCCCCCGCCGCCCGCCATCGGGACGATGCCCCGATCCCGGGCAGCGGGGGGGAACGCCTCCCCCGCCGCCCGCCATCGGGACGATGCCCCGATCCCGGGCGGCGGGGGGGGGGGACGCCTCCGCCGCCGCCCGCCATCGGGACGATGCCCCGATCCCGGGCGGTGGGGCAGGAACGCCTCCCCCCGCCGCCCGCCATCGGGACGATGCCCCGATCCCGGGCGGCGGGGGGAACGCCTCCCCCCACCGCCCGGGATCGGGGCATCGTCCCGATGGCGGGCGGCGGGGGGGGACGCCTCCGCCGCCGCCCGCCATCGGGACGATGCCCCGATCCCGGGCGGCGGGGGGGGAACGCCTCCCCCCGCCGCCCGCCATCGGGACGATGCCCCGATCCCGGGGCGGCGGGGGGGGACGCCTCCAGGACCTCTTCTGAAGGCCAGCGGGGGGCAAAAGTCTTTGCTCCCCCCTGCCTGCCTTCCCGGGAGAGCGGAGAAACGCAGCGCGTTTCTCCGCTGTCCCGGAGGGCTTTTGAAGGCAGGCGGGGGGGGGGGGAGCAAAGACTTTCGCCCCCCGCCAGCCTTCAGAAGAGGTCCAGGACCTCTTCTGAAGGCTGGCGGGGGTGAAAGTCTTTGTCCCCCCTGCCTGCCTTCCCAGGGGCTTTTAAATCGCCCTGGACAGCGGAGAAGTCCTCCGCTGTCCTGGGCGATTTTAAAATGCCGCCCGTCAGCATTTTAAGATCACCCCGGACAGTGGAGACGTCCTCAGCTGTCCCGGGATTTTTTAAAATGCTGGGGGTGGGAAGAAAAGCCCTTGTCCCCCCCCCAGCCTTCAGAAGAGGTCGGGGGACAGACTGTCCCCGGACCTGGTCTGAAGGCGGTTTCCCTAGGAACGCATTAATTGATTTTCAATGCATTCCTATGGGAAACCGTGCATCGCAAGACGAAAAACTCGCAAGACGAAGAGACTTGCGGAACGAATTAATTTCGTCTTGCGAGGCACCACTGTAATTATAAAATACTATCTTTGTGTTTATTTGATTCCTATTAAAGAGAGTTACTTTATATATAGTCAATATAGGCACAGAGTTAATTTTTTAAACATTTTCTAATGGTGGTGTGCCTCGAGATTTTTTTCATGAAACAAGTGTGCCTTTGCCCAAAAAAGGTTGGGAAACACTGCTTTAAGGAGCTTCTAAAGATTACAGGACAGATTGGAAGCCAGTGTTAGGAATGGAGGGGAAGTGTCACATGGTGCGTATGATGACAGTAGCAGCGTGAAAATTTAAGTTGTGCATTGTTACATTTACCTACAGTATCTCTTGGAAGGCAGTATGTGAAGTAGAGTGGAAATTTCCTAAGTGGCTGGGCAATCCCTGCCTTATGGGGCTTCCAGTGCACAGAAGTGGTGACATCCATGTGAACAGAGTTATGTTTGAGTAGGTCCATACGCTCCTCTCCTCCACCCCCTACCTTGTTAGCCTACCTCTTTATGGCCCCTTTACACCAGTTGATTCACAGGACATAGACCCATATGAATAGCAGTCACACACACTAGCAGTGGGTTATCTAAGTAATGACCCATAAAATCATGTGCGAACTCACTTTCTTTGTAATATTTTCACCACTCAGGCTTGTGGATTGTGCTCTTATGCTAAATAATAAAGGCTGCACATCAAGAAGTTAGACCTGTTTCGTCTATTGTGAAAAATGTAAGTTAGTCTCCATTCTTTGTAGCTATCAGAGCAATAACAACTTAGCTTGCCCAAAAGGAAATTCCTACTTTACAGAAAGAGGGAGAGTGGCCAAGAGAGGAAACACATCATTCTAATTAATTGAGTCACTTTGCATCATTAGGATACTACAGGCACATGTGTTTTTCTCTTACAATTCTGGAAATACAGAGTTTGCTCAAAAACAGAAAGGTGGTGATTAGCACTGGAGTGTGGACTGAACCCATATTACTCCATGTAGTATTTTAAATACAGTGGAAGCTCAGGTTGCAGACGTAATCCGTGACGCAAGCACGAGTGGCGAAACCCGGAAGTAACCCTTTCCGGTACTTCCAGGTTTCCCGTGGTCCATAACCTGAAAACTCGTAACCCGAAGTATCTGTAACCCAAGGTACCACTGTATATGAAGGGAAAATATTTATTTGTTTCCATTTATTTGTTTGTGAATTGCCATAATACCTGTAAACATGATAAAAGCTTTGGCCTTGTCTCACTTGCAGCAGAGGATAGCTATTTGCTTGAACCATGCAAAAGATCTTTATGTAACCTATTCTCTACTTTCCATATGAAATTGAATACTCTCATTCTTTGGGAAGGTTGACTTTTTTGTTTTTTCTGTATCTGCCCTGCATCACTGAGATTTGGTATTTCATTAATTATATTTGATAAGTTGCTATGCAGCTTCAAATTTCAGCTTAGCCACAGCAATATGGCTGAGTAGGTATACTATACAAAATGGCTTTGCATCTCACACTCCAAACATGTTTGCTCTGGGTGGTTTCCTTCAGCAAACTCCTTAAGTGGAATTGTCAGATGAACATCCTGAAATATCTATATTGGCATTCCCAGGAGCCCTGATTACTTGGTAGATGTCTGATGGCTGTGCATACAGATCTGTCACTTACACTTTGTATTTGCCAAAGGAAAGACTAGCACAACATTAGTGTATCTGTGGTAAACATGAATGCTGCGCAAAGTGTGGAACCACTCCTTAGTCTTGTGCTTGATCTGCTGTTAGAGAATGAAGCATAATCTCCATTGTGATATATAAGATACATATTGGCTGAAATAATACTTTTTGAGTACTGGAGACAAAATAGGAAATTTATTCTAGAGTTTCTGCTTTTGATCAGCCTCTGGGCTCTCCAAAGGATGCACACACATGGATGGGCATATTGCTGTGTCGCCAGATTTCTGCACACTTGTATTTCCATGCAGGCACTGGTGGTTTGCTGTTTGCCAGGAGCAGGCACTGTGTGATCCATGATAGTAGCTTCTAGAGCTGCAAAGAAGAAAACAGGATAAATCACTTAGAGGTTTTAACAATTAAGCAGTAGAAAGACCAAACAAACAAACAAACAAACAAACAAACACAGACTTAGTGAATTCTTAAGACCAGAGTAATTATTCATATAAAGTCTGAAATCGGTTATTCATTTTATGTCTGATTCAGACCTAAAAAAAATGATGCATTGATTGTGGAAATAGCACCACACTGATACCTCTGTAGTGACAATTTACTTACCAGGTAATATTGTATCCAGGAATGGTTGAGCAGGCATCTATGGAGGAGAGAAACACTGTCTGGTTTCCATGCACGAATCTGTCATTAATAATCAGTATATTTTATAAGTTCAAAGATTTGACAAAAGTTAGTTCAGAAAATATATATCAGTTTGGGACTCAAAGTGGAAGAAACCAATCTGCATTTTACGTGCATTTCTGATATATTAAGAGTTAATTACAGTGGTACCTCGGGTTACATACGCTTCAGGTTACAGAACCCGCTAACCCAGAAATAGTACCCCAGGTTAAGAACTTTGCTTCAGGGTGAGAATAGAAATCGTGTGGTGGCAGCGCTGCAGCAGCGGGAGACCCCATTAGCTAAAGTGGTGCTTCAGGTTAAGAACAAACCTCCGGAACAAATTAAGTACGTAACCAGAGGTACCACTGTATGCATCTTCCTTCATGTGTTGGCATGAGTTTTTTCCACCAATGGAGAACCTTGTATCTCCTAGGAGAAGTGCATTGCTTCCCCCTTTAAATGTAACATTAGAAGCATGAATAGTGATGCACTGTGTCAGTTACCAATCTGCTTTTTGTGTCATCAAAAGAGATTCCCATTTCCTTTGTAGAAGTATGGTGTGTGACTGCTTTGGCGTATGCTGATGTTAGTTGTAGTGAACGAAAAGACCCTGATGTCAGTGGTCAGATAAGGGTTTATGTGTTTATTCTATGTGGTGCAACCTTATCTGGAGTAAAGACAGAAACTAGCACAATTTCTAGCAATGAGGTGATAACTTTGTAAATGGTATCAGGATGTGGGTATGATTTCTGTTCTCCCTAAGAGAGTTACTTTTTTTGAAATCATGTGTGCTTTGTAATATGTATGTGATGTTTCTGTCCTATAGTATTTATTGAGTGTGTGTGTGTTTATAGAGGCCTCTGAATTCTACTGTGTACAACATTTTATTTAAATAATTGTGAACCTGTAGGGTCATCTAGGGTAGTGTTTGCTTTTTGAATAGTTTGGGCCTCTTTCATTGTTTGCATCTATTGTGACCAACACGGGGGCTAACCTGAGCAGAAGATCGGGGGTGCAATGACAAAAGAAAATAGATGTTCAAGGATTCAATTTCTGAGTAAGAACTTATATACCCAAGAGTACACAGAATTGCAGTGTTGAAATAGCCTTCTATGGCCATGGTCTGTCAGGTTTAGGGTTACTAGTTTTATTGGGATAAATAATAATAATAATGATGATGATGATAATAATAATAATAATAATAATAATAATAATAATAATAATAATAATAATAATAATTTATTATTTATACCCTGCCCATCTAGCTGGGTTTCCCCAGCCACCCTGGGTGGCTCCCAACAGAATATTATTATTAATAATAAAAATAAAGCGATAAAACATCAGAAAATAATAACTTCCCTAAACAGGGCTGCCTTCAGATGTCTTCTAAAAGTCAGATACATTTGTACCTTGGTTTTCAAACAGCTGAGTTTTCGAACGTTTTGGCTCCCGAACGCCGCAAACCCAGAAGTGACTGTTCCAGTTTGCGAACTATTTTTGGAAGCCGAATATCTGATGGGGCTTCCGCTGCTTCCGATTGGCTGCAGAAGCTTCCTGCAGCCAATCAGAAGCTGTCCTTTGGTTTCTGAACATTTTGGAAGTTGAACGGACTTCTGGAATGGATTCTGTTCGACTTCCAAGGTACGACTGTAGTTGTTTATTTCCTTGACATCTGATGGGAGAGCATTCCACAGCACGGGTGCCACTACCGAGAAGGCTTTCTGCTTGGTTCCCTGTAGCCTCACTTCTTGCAGTGAGGGAACCGCCAGAAGGCCCTTGGAGCTGGACCTCGGTGTCTGGGCTGAACAATGGCGGTGGAGAAACTCCTTCAGGTATACTGTTTCGAGACATTTTAGGGCTTTAAAAGTCAGCACCAACACTTCAAATTGTGCCTGGGAAATTGTATGATGAATCAGTAGATATGATCTTAAATACCTACACATGCTATTATTAAATAATAAGTTCTACATATGTTGCTGCTCAAGTATGTTCTATATATGAAACATACCTGCTTTCTATTCATGCCTTTATGATAATACTAATCATCTTATAGGAATGTATGGAAGCAAAATTCTAATCTTGAACTGTTCAGCTTTAGCACATAGTAAAAGTGCAGTCATGTGTATACAGGTGTAATTAGGCATTTTTGCTGCTCTTTGCTTTTTAAAGTTGTGTGAAATTTGTGTATTTAATTGAGGCCCTTGGGTGTTTTTTGTTTTTTTTTAAGGAAGCTGTTCTTTATCTCCATCCATGGAAACTGTGTGTTGTGGAATGCATTGCTGTTCATGACAAGATGCTTTCTGACCTCTGGCTAAGCAATAAATACAATGAAAAATACCATTTGGAACTGGGCATTTTGTTGACATTTCCAGGGCATAAGAAATCCATTTTGATTTTCTAGTTATATTTTGTATAGTTTTTATTAATTGGCATCATATTCCAAGAATTGTGGCTTATTTAGTGGTTTTATTGTAAAGTACAGGAAACTTTTAAACCACAGACAAAGCAGATTTCAGTCAACAGCCGAATACAGTTATTGACCTTTAAATAACCACATCCTTTTGTATTTACATATGTGTATATGAATATTTGAGTTGGGCTCTCTAATATCCGCAAATAAAGTTGCTATCCTCCTGCCACATTCTATCCATATGGTTACATTTCCTTCAACTTTGCTGCTATAAGATTCTAATTACTCTGAGAAGAGTGGCCGGAAAAGAAGAATTAATTGTATTAAACAATGTAGCATGGGCAGACGAATAATTTACTTTGGTTGTGATGGTTAGCATATAGGGCGGGTTTTGTTTATTTTAGAATTCAGAATTTGTTTTTACAAGAACTGGAGTCAGGGAAAAACATGGTGGGGTTGTGCATTAATGTTACAAAGATTTTGCAAAGAAGGGTGGCCTGTCTTACTAACTACAATAGAGTCCATTTGCATTTTGCAATTGCGGTGTTGCTCCTTTCTTCCACTCAGGCAATGCGAAAAGCTGCAGGTCTGTGGGTACAGACCATACAGCAACTCCACCCCACACCCAACTTTGGGCAATATCTTCCCCTCTCCCAGTTCTTTAGTGTTTCCGTTTGCCTGATTTCATGCCATGATTCATTTCTTCTGGATTACAACAGATTCCTCCATGCATTTCTGAAACGTTGGGGAGTGCATAAGAAGTGTGGCCAGTTGCTGAACAATTGTGATCCCCTCTGACATTTTGCTGATCAAACATTAGCCACACATACTTCAGACAAATGCATAGGGCATGCCAGTTTTGCTTCAGCTACTTTTAAAATCTTGGTATTTGTTTATACAGGAATTCCAAGCACACCCATCAAATGGTTCCAGTTTTATTTTCACAGAGAGTTACTGTTTCTTGTGACTCTGCCCATGTATCAAAATCTATAACTAAATGGGATTTTGGAAGCCAGATAATGAATAAAATGTAAGGTTCTCCGCAAGGAAAATGAAATTAGGCTTAGCATGTTGTTGGTTTAATAAACCAAGTATGTTTGAAAAAATAATATAAATCACAATCATAGCATAGTTTGGGGGTACCAAGTGTTACAGATGGACAAAAGTACCAGAGGTTTCTCCATTATTAACACAGTTCAACATTCTTTGCCTAGAAAACTCGTTGGAATTCACAGCCTGTAATTTGGCATAAAAATTGAAGTAAACCCCAGATGCTTTGGGGAGCATATTGAATATTTCTCAAAAGTAATGAATGGTTCTATTTCCCCCTTTTCTTTTTTTAAATAACCAAACCCATAAACCACACACATGTATTTTCACATTTATATCTTTCTCCTTCGCACATATTTTCATGGCCTGTTGTTCAACAGCAAGCAATCAGCAGGTCAGAAAGCATAAAAAATAGTTCACATACTAGGCATGCGAGTTATATGCCCACAGTGTATTTGACTATGTCTACATCTGTTCATAGTCAGTATATCATGTACAGCAATGCTTAAATAATTAGGAATATGCATTACTTTCCATTTAGCATAGGCAAATGCTCTGAAGCACTGTGTGAACTGTGTAGCTTTGTTCCAATTATGCACTCTCATGCACTAATTCAGCAGCACTGCACAACACAGGTGATTATTCTGATGCACAAAATGCAATCCTTCTTTTAAAAGAGGGGGGGACCCTTCCTAGTAGCAAACAATTTCTTCAGTGTTAATCTGTGCATACATACTTATACAGGCTACCCCCAATATTAAGGAGAATAGGGTCACTGTTTCCAGCTCTGCTGTAGGGCTAGGGTGCATGGGCTGTTAGGGAAGTTAGTACCTTTGGTGGGGATACATCGTGCTTCTTTTGTGTTAGTTTGCCCACCTTTGATCCCCAGCCTGCACTTAGCTCAGGGGTCAGCAAACCTTTTCAGCAGGGGGCTGATCCACTGTCCCTCAGACCTTGTGGTGGCGGGGCGGCCTATATTTTTTTGGGGGGGAGCGGGATGAACGAATTCCTATGCCCTACAAATAATCCAGAGATGCATTAAAATAAAAGGACACATTCTACTCATGTAAAACCACACTGATTCCTGGACCGTCCGTGGGCCGGATTTAAAAGTCAATTGGGCCGGATCGAGCCCCCGGGCCTTAGTTTGCCTACCCATGACTTAGCTCTTATATGTGGCTCCTAGAAGCTGCCAGCCTGTGACGGCGGCCACACCCTGGGAATAACTTTGGCTGGCTAAACCAAGTGAGGGTAGCCAACGGGTCTCAAACTCTCAGTGTGTTAGGGACTTACCCTGCATGCAAAAACAGGCTCCATTTGAGCAGACAAGACTAATAGTGGCCTCAACAGGCAAGAAGGCAGTTTCTGCACATGCTGTAAAGAAGCAGATGGGGCTTGTCAACCTGGGAAGGTAGCCAGTCTAGAAGAAGTGAAACTCTGATCCTAAACCTCTGCTGCCTTCTGGGATAACTTTGGGAGAAGAAAAGGCTAAGGAGTAAACCCTACACAAATCCTGAGTCCCTAAGATGGTTGTATTGCTCTGCTGTCCTTTGGACCA